GCAGAAATGTGGGCTAAGTACAGAATAACAAACTCCAAATGGACACAGGGGATTATAATCACAAGGAAAAGGTAAGGTTTCAGAGGGTAAAATCATGTATTAGAGAAAGCATTTCAGTCACTCACTCTCTTTGGTACAAAACCACATATGCACAGTATATATACAGCATATGCTACACTACATGAGTGTATCTTATGACTAGTCCTTATCTGAAATGCATGGGACCAGAAGTATTCCAGATTTCTGGGCTTTCCCCTCTCTCTCTCTCTCTGTATGGACTTTACCAGCTGAATATCCCTAATCTGAAAATCCCTAATGCCAAATGTTCTAAAGTCCTAAACTTTTTAACTTTTTGAGCATGAGGTTTTACACACACACACACACACATTTTTAGAATAATTTACAGATAATTTGAAAAGTAATATTGAAGAGCAATTGGGGGACCACTCCAATGCTCTTTTCTCTCTCCTGGAAGGGAAAATGTTTATAAAAACAAATTTACTCTGTCCCTCAACCAGATCCTGTGCATAATAATAGAGAAACATGATCCAGTGTTAAAAACCAAATTAGAAGAAAATAGTGAATACCTTGAGCAAGAACCCATGATACGGTGGCTTAGCAAAATGTTCTTTTCTACTAAGCATCATTGGTGTCCTCATGGACAGTATCACAGGTGTCAGAAGAAACAGAATCCTCCAAAGACATGACATTTAGATTCTCTGAAGGTTCAAAGAGAAATGTTACCCTGTGCCACATTTGCCATTAAGAAAATGCAGTATTCAGGTTGGGGATGTCACTTAAGTAGCACAGTGTCTGCCTAGCAAGCACAAGGTCCTGAGTTCAACACCCAGTACTACCAAGGGGGAAAAAAAAAATTAATGGGCTCCTCTAGAGGTAACACACTTTCAGTCTATTGAAAGTATATTCCTTTCCTAATAAACCTTACTATTACTTTCACTAAAAAAAAGAAAATGCAGTATTCACTAATATGTAATGTAGTAAAATAATAAAGTCTTTTCACATATTAAAAAATATCAAATTTACTCACCATGTAACTTTTGCTGTATAAATTTAGAGCCATAAATTTGTGTGTGGTCAGGGGGAGGTATCAGGGTTTGAACTCAGGGCCTTGTGCTTTTGAGGTAGGCCTCTACCATTTGCGCCACACTACCAGCCCTTAGAGTCATAAAAATTTTGAACCCTGGGAAAATGGTATCTTCACACAACTTATTACTTTATTATATATTCATTCTTCTGTACAATTAACTGTCTAATACTTACTAAATGTGAGAATATCCACAGATGAGAAAAACATAAGAGATGACATTGAAGGGCAGGGAACTGATAAAGTAACTGCCTCTCAAATTAAGGTTTTTGGATTATCTTCCTCAGGATCACCTGGCAAGTAGGTTAAAATGCAAATCCATAGGCCTGATCCAAGAATTAATCAGCATCTTTGGGGAGAAGGCTCAGCAACCTGCACTTTCAACACACCCATGCCAGCCTGGTGTGCGTTACAGTAAGTATCGCTGCTGTATCTCTGCCCCTGTAGAATCCACTGCATGCTCTCATTGCATATGAGGACTAAGCTCTGAAACCAATGCTTGCTAAGGTCTTTCTGCAGTCAGCCTGAAGCAAGAGACTCTAGGTAGCAGAAACAAAGATAAAGAGACAAAGACTTTGTTTGCTTGCTTGCTTATTGCAGTGCTGGAATGGAACAAAGGACCTTGCACCTACTCCGAAAGTTTCTACCATTGAGCTACATTCCCAGGCCACAAAACAGAGAAAAAAGAATTTTCTTCAAATGAAGACTCCAAATCCACATGTAAGAATGTGCCAGTTCCATTGTACTAAAGGGAGTACAGAAATCCTACCAATGAGAACACTGCGGATATTAAGAGATGGAACTAATGATTTCATATGATATGAATTTATAACCATGTTTGACATTTTAGACTTCAGTTCAAGCTAAAAGTGGGTAAGAAAGGAAAACAAATCAAAATTTTAAAAACTCATGCTCAAGTGCTCTACATCTCTGGAAAAGAAGTTCTTTTCTTATTTTTTCCAGAATTATTGTGACAATGCTGTGATGGTTAACCTTGATTGTCAACTTGATTGGATTGAAAAGCACCTAGGAGACTGGTAAAACACATTTGTGGGTGTGTCTGTGAGGGCATTTCCAGAGAGGATTAAATTATGAGGGCCTAGACCAAATGAATGGCTTAATTCACTAACAGATTTAAAAATCTGAGTAGATTACTGGGAAGTGGAGAAACAGTGGGAGATGGGCTTAGTTGGAGGAAGTAGGTCATGGTGGGGGATGTCCTTGGGTGCTACATCTTGCCCTGGCCCATTGCTGTTTCTGCTCCATCATGCCCTCCCTGCCATAATGGACTAAAATATCTGAAATCTCTTTCCCTTCTTATTTCTGTCAGGCATTTGATCACAGAGACGATAAAACTGACTAACACATAGACAGGGGGTGTAGCTCAGTGGTAGAGCACTTACCTAGTGTGTACAATGCCCCAAATTCAATCCTCAATATGGCGAAACAAATAAATAAACAAGCAAGCAAAAAATCTAACACAAATGGTAATTTGCTTTTTAAATAAAAGAGAAGAATTTTTCCCATTAACATGCCACCAAGTCCTTTCTCATCTTACAATTATTGGACACTGAGAAATCACCACAAACTTAATTCAGCAGAGGAGAGACAAAATGCTTAATTTAAACAGGATTATGGATATAAGCAATATCCTATCATGAATAAGGAAAGTATACATTAATTTCAAGGTAAGATCAGAATTGCTTCATCTGAATCAGAAATCATTTCCTGTTATTTTTATGGCATTTCACTTAATCACATGAGACATTTTATAACTAACTCAATAGGCAAAAATCACCATAATGTCCACCTATCATGCAAATAATAATATTGCAAACCAAAACAATAGTGATAGTAATGACCATCTGCTCCCCCTTCCAAAAAAAATCCCCAAAACACATTCTCCTGTGCTAAAAATTCACTGTTAACTTGTACTCTTAATTGTGGTTTAATGCTAATTTCAAAATTATTTAAACCAAATCACAGCTTTCCGCACATATATACCTAACAGAGCAGATAATCTGAGGTACACACAGTGTCCCTATACTCCTCTCCTCCCATGGTCCATCTTCCTCACTTACTTTTGAAATAAAACCTAGAGAAGTGTGCTGGGGGTATACGTCAGTGATGAAAAATGTGTAGAGTAGGCACAAGTCCCTGAGTTCAATCCCCACCACCAAAAAAAAAGAGAGATAAAGCTGCTGAGGAGATTGGTGCTTAAAGAATTTCCCACAAGCTATTTCATTGTGCAAAGAATACCATAACATAGTCAAGTAAATGTATTTACTTATTTTATGGTACTGGGTGAACTCAGGGCCTCATGCTTGCTAGGCAGGCACCTAGTACTTGAGCCATACCTCCAGCCCAAAATGATTTAGGCTGCGATTACCCTACTTTATCTCTCTTTCTCTTTTTTTGGTGGTACTAGGGAGTTGAACTCATGACCTCACACTTGCTAGGCAGGCACTCTACCACTTAAGCCATGCTACCAGCCCTCATGTAAATTTAAGTATGACTCATGGGACAGTATTAATGAGTCAAATTATGTACATGTAAAGTCACAGTTCATGTCTGATTACTCCCACCAGTGTAAGAATGCAAAGGTATAGCCAATCCAAAAAGGCATGTAACTTAAACACAATCATAACCTATGTATGTTTTCTCTCACACTTGTATCCAAATGTCTACAAATTCATATGAGATAAAGAAGTATTGTGCTTGAATAATCAAAATTCTTTTTCCTATCTTGCTCTGCCATTAATGGCATCAGCAATGTGACACAAAGTAGCACCACAAGACAAGTTACTTTCCTTCCTCCCAGTATACAATGTAAGGTTTTCTTAATTATAATCCCTCTGGGTTCAGAAAAATGTCAGTAAGAACTTTAATCATTTTCAAGATATAGCTGGTTTTTATGGAGAAGGTGTTACAGTGTATTCTCAAGAATTTCATGTGAGGAAATGTGAATATATAATCAGTGAAGACAGGCTATCGTTCATAATTCCTAAACACAAATAAATGTGGAGGTAAACAGGAAAGGAAGAACTCTCACAAGTGGGGTATCTGAGGCAATTTGGAACTAACCCAAGATTATTCTATGAAACTAGAGCCATTCCTGAATCATGGGGAGAATTCTAATGTGCCAGAAACAGCCAGGAGATCATTCTGAGAGGATAAGGACACAAAGCCAAACAACAGAAGAGCAAACTGAAGAATTAGGTCCAATGGATTAAAAAATTCTACTTTACATCCTTAGTAAGCCAGAAGACACTGAACCTGGGGACTCAAAACTGGTATACAAGTTAGTCATTGACCTTGGATATACTAATCAATCTCTGGATGACAATTTGTTCATTTTAAAGTAGGTAGAGTAAAATCCATCAGCTTTTGTCACAGACATCAGAGCAATGAGAATCAAAGACAATAATGCACTTGATACCGTTTTATGAACTATAAAGAATTATTATCAAATGAAAATTTGGGAACTTTTTTAAGTATAAAAGATAAAAGCCAAATTGAGATAAAATTATAAAATCAAATTTATAAAATCATAGCTACATAGATTATAAAATAATAGATACCTACGTATTTATGTTGGGTTAGAAACAGTAGTTCCAGTATGTCTACTTGCTTTTATAAAAAAACTTTTTTTGCTTCAGTTTTTTTTTAATCAGGCAGAAATGGGAAATTTTTGGTAGACTTACTAATTTCTCTCATGATACAATGTTATTGTAGTAGGACACATTGACTGTAAACTTTATTCCTTATAGGACCAGAAGGATAATCTGCCAGTCTTAAAGAGTAAACAGTGAATATAAATACAACTGTATATCACAGCTATGATATTTTGATACATTTTATTACAAAGAAACAAACACATAAATAATTTGTCCAATTTAGCACAATAGGCTATTAGTCACTAGGAGCCAAACTTAATGTATTGTACATCCTGGGCAGGACGTTTCCATGCAACGTGTCCGGACCTTATTGAACTCAGTCACTCATTCAGCGTTGCACATCTCTTTTAGTAAAGCAGTAGCTGTGGAAGAATAAAGTTCACTATCTTCCTCCTGTCCTCAAGCAGATACTCAAAGACAATTAAAGACAAAACTGTTTCATTAGAACATGAAAATAGCAAGCTTTGGGTTGCTGCAAAAAGGCTTTTCCAACATATCAGTATTTAACTTTCAGAAAACAGAGGGAAGCAGAAATACAGGATGCTGATTTCTGCTACAACCTGATCTCATGTTGTGGGACATTTCTGCTTGCTGTATTTTAAAATTCCAAGTAAGCAAGTAACACAAGGATTCATACATAAAAGTGGTAAACAGCCCAGAAGTTTTCTACTCAAAGATAAATTGTTTCTTCCCAATAACTTACCAGAAAGAAATGGGTGCTTATAAACCCTAAGCGGTTCTTTAAATAAGTCAGAAAAATAATATAAAAATTAAAAAACAAAGCAATAACTGAACATTGTTAAAAAATAAAACTTTCTTTAAAGATGATTGCCTTCACTTTAAAGATGGGTGCTCTATAAAATGGGCAGTCATATCTATAGCTCATCATGTTTATATGTAAATTCTCTGGCAGAAATATATCCATCTTTGTCTTCATCTTCTTTATCAAAAATATCCTCCACCAAGACATCATGATGACTTTCGTTCACCACCGCACCATGCTTTTCAAACTCCTTCTTTAAATACACTTTAACCTGCACAATGATGGATCTCATTAATAAAAGATTCATGATACCCACACTGAGTCAATCAGTCTTACAGACATTTAACTATATTTAAGAACTATTAAACGACTACTTTAAAATACATTTCTAATGATAGTAAAAGAGTTATAAGAAATATTTTTCACTAAAATCTGTTGCTATACTATGATAGTGTTAACATGAAATACTATTCAGAGGCAAAGATAAAGCTTGTATCATGCATAATATCCTTACATCAAATACAGTAACTGACCTTATTAGCAGACTTATTACACACTGCTTTGACTAAACAGTCAGAAAAATTTTTTAAAATCAAAAGAAATTTAAAAAGCAAAAAAAATTAAATTCCTGCACTCATGATGCAGCTCAGTTGAATGGAGATGCTCTCTGTCAGCCTCCTGTCATGGTCAGTTGTGTTTAAATTGTTGTGTGATATGCTGAGTGTTTCCCAGCCCTTAATTTTGGGAAAAACTGCCTCTGTAAAAGCAAATAGTGCCCCAAAGGCAAGGTAAGAGTATCTGTGCTTAATTGAAATGATACAGTAACAATTTGAGATTTGTTCAAAGGCAACATGTCTTTAGCAGAAGTTGGGAGGAGTATGGGAAAATGAACCAAGCATCCACAGTACAGCACTGAACTCTGCATCCTGAGCAAGCAGGGCTTTTCCTCACTTCCTTGGAACTATGTATCAGTGATACCAAGGGTCCACTGTACACACTTTTATTATCTCAAAGCCTGCTTGTTTTAACCTGGAGAACTCCCTTTTTTCTTACAGTCTTACACTAGGAAGTCAACATTTATTTAATCCATTATTCATTACTATTTAATCCATTGTTCATAATTTATTTAGAAACATTTTTAATCCTAAAATGGTATGCAAGTATTCTATGACTCCAAATTATATTTATCATTCTCCTTCAAACATGAAGAAAATGATTAATTTATTAACTCCCACATACAGCACAGTCCCACTGATACAACATTTAGTCTGAGGTACTATACTCATGTAAGAGTCAAGATAGTTAGTGTGAAACTAGCCTGAACCTGACTGTGTTCCTGGCTCAGAATGCCTACAGTAAATTTATGAATCCGCTCTAAGACACAATATTAAACTAAGATACAGATGTCTGATAAAAGCATTTCAAAGCAGAGTAAACATTAGTACTAAATTTTATTAAACTTCAATTTTATTAAGGTGTTTATTCAATTAAGCTTTCAAAATGCCTAGTTTACTCAGTTACTTGGAAATTTCATATAAGATTTGTTTTTAAAAAAAAAAACATTGGCTCAGCACTTCAAAATGGTTACAAAATCAGCAAAACTTTAAAATGCTAAAATTGCACTTTTCTGCTAGGCTGGTAAAATATCTTCCATGGCAAGCTACCAAAACTATTTAATAAAATACTTTAAATTACTAAGGACTGGACTATTTTCCCTGAAATTAACATCATTCCCAAAATCCACCAGGATTTTGTAAGATTTGATTATTTATTTATTTATTCATCTATTTATTTATTTATTGTGGTACTGGGGTTTGAACTCAGGGCCTCATGCTTGATAGGGAAGCACTGTATCCACTTAAGCCACTATGCCAGCCCTGTTTCTGTGTTGGATATTTTCGAGATAGGGTCTCACAAACCATTCACCTGGGCTGGCTTCAAACCTCGATCTTCCTAATCTCTGCCTTCTGGTGTCATGAGCCACCAGCAAGATTTGATTCTTTATAGTTTTAAAGTTAAAGAGAGAAGGGGACCAGGAACTAGAGAAAAGGTTAGTTCGAGAAGAATTAACTTAGAAGGTAACACACATGTACAGGAAATTAATGTGAGTCAACTCCCTGTATAGCTATCTTTATCTCAACTAGCAAAAACCCTTGTTCCTTCCTATTATTGCTTATACTCTCTCTTCAACAAAACTAGAGATAAGGGCAAAACAGTTTCTGCCTGGTAGCAAGGGGGTGGGGGGGAGAAGGAGGGGGTGGGGTAGGTAAGGTAGGGGGCGGAGAGGAAGGAGGGAGAAATGACCCAAACATTGTATGCACATATGAATAAAATAAATAAATAAATAAAGTTAAAGAGAGAAAAAAAACTCTAAAACCAAAGCTTCACATACTGACTTTTTATGCCCTATTTTGGTCCCTCAATGACTAAAGAAATTTTAAGTTAATTTTGCTATGTATTTCCTGGCTTAACCAAAGGCTACAATTTCTATTTTCCAAACTGAGAGCTGGGTGTGGTGGTACATGCCTATCATAAGAAATGCTATAGTAACCAAAACATAATAATTTTGAAATATCTATGTATCTGTCAGGTCTTCTTAAAAACTTTTAAGAAATTTTTATAATCAAGCTTTTATAATCAAGATATTTTAAACAACTACATAATTGAATCAGATTCGGTAGGGAAAAACTTATTTTGCAAAAATAAAATCACTTCCCACTATGCTTGACCAAAATAAGCTACTCATGTTCATGTGTGTTCTATTGAAGACATCACTGAAGTCTGTCCAATGGCTTATTTCTAAGTAGTCTACTAGGAATTCTTTTTTGGGTGTTTTTTATTGTTGTTTGTTGTTGGTTGGTTGGCTTTGGATTTTTGATACTAGCGATGGAACTGGTACCTCATAGACGCTAAGCATGTGCTCAACTACTGAACTACACCTCCAGCCCAAGAATGTTTTAGGATTGACTATTTCTGACTTCCATTTGGACCCCGTACTCTAGTACTTGAGCTATGCCTCCATCTCTCACGTGTTGTTTGGTAGTACTAATTTTTGAACTCAGGCCTTGTTCTTGCTAAGCAAGCACTCCACCATTTAAGTCATGCCTCCAGCCCTTTTTGCTTGAGGTTATTTTTCAGATAGGGTCTCACTTTTTCCCCTAGATTCTCTTACCTATACCTGCCACATCTGGCTTGTTTGTTGAGATAGGGCCTGGCTAACTTTTTGCCCATGCTGGCCTCGAACTGCAATCCTCCCAATCTCTGCTTCCTGAGAAACTGAGATTACAGATGTGAGCCACTGTGCCTACCCTTGTTTTTATTTTTGCCTTCAAGTGTCTCAGTAATGTGGCCTGGCCTGGCCTCAAATTCATGACCCCCCTGTCTACCTCTTGAGTACTAGGATTACAGGCCTCACCATGCCCTGCTTACTCATTTTGGTTATATACATTTGGCAGAGCCTTGCACTTTAGCCATGCCTCTAGCCTAGTTTTAAGATAACCAAAACCTCCTCCACATCCACAGAAAGCTCAGCAAACTACCGTCTGGTATTTTTCTGCTGTGCAGCACAAGCTCTCTGTAGGCAAACTAGAGCTATAGTATGCAGACATGCTTTGTAGGTATCACTCGCTATTTCCATGCAAGGGGAGCCAACATGTCTTCTTGACCATGTCCTGCATACACTGGAATAAAGGTCCATGAGGAGGATACACTATCGAGAACAACCCGCTCATTCTAAACATAGAACTCAGCTTCTAAGGAAATTTCTTTAGAGATGCATATGAAAATCTGGTTGCTAATACAAAAGTCGCAGCAGAAATCATCTTTTTTTTTTAGTCTACTCCAATTCCTCTACTTTGGATCCAAAAGTACACATGTAGGTGACTTTACTACAGGATCTATAATTTTCAGAGAATAGTTGGCATGGAACCTCTTGAAAAAGACTACAGCCACAGCAATAATTTATCTTAATTTACGATGCTCACCTAAAGCTTGCATAACATTTATTTAAAACATGTGTAACTTCCAACACTCTTTTGAAAGAAACTTTTAAGTGCCTTTGGCACTCCTTCAAAGATCTTGTTTATTCAGAATCCAATGCAAATAATGGGAGCTCCACCAAAATATCCTGCCATGGAGCAGTTTGCTCAATTTAAAAAGAAAAAAAAAGGCACAGCCATCCAGAGTGACAACAGGCCCAGCCTGTCTAACAAGGACTCTTACCATCTTGGCTCAGCAACTCATAGTACCTCCTCTTCTTTTTCTTGGACTTGGATTTGAACTCACGGCTTTGCACTTACAAAGCAGGCTACCTATGGCTTGAGCCACATCTCCAGTTCATTTTGCTTTGGTTATTTTGGAGATGGGGTCTTGTGAACTATTTGCCTGGGCTGGTGTCAAGCCTCTATCCTCCCGATCTCAGTCTCCCAAGTACTTAGAATTATAGGCATGAGCCACAAGCACCCAATCTCAAAGTACCTGTTCTTAATCTGAACCTAAATAAAGATGAGCATTTGAACAACAGCTATCTTTGAATCCACTGAATTAACTACATCTTCTTTCCTATCAAGAGTCAGAATTCTAGATACTTTTCTTAAAATCAGATTAAATGCTACATTTTTTACTCAAACGTGTGTAGGAGTAAAAGTAACTGTTGCACTGCCTGTGACCACAGCATACTGGCTGAGCTTAATCACGGCCTTCCAAGCACAGAAATTAATGACAGTCCGCCTGATGAGTGCCTAGACTACACTTTTGCATTTTCATTAAGACATTTAAAATTATAATCAAAATTCTGCTTCTAATCCTTCCCTAGAATCACCATAGTACAAATCAGCCTGTATTATAATTTTTAATCATATCCCATTCTACCTATTTAAACAAGCAATTTCAAATTTGTACTCACCCAACCCCAGACATGCAAACATATGCTGCATATTTCAGTTAAGGTGATCTTAATGCAGATGTTAAAAAAAAAAAAAAAAAAAAAAGGATAATGAAACTCTAGAAATTAGTGTAGATTCTATCTCCAAGATACATCATGCAAATAAAGCCACCTTTTGCGTAAGAAAAGGATAAAGTATTTGAATGAACAAGTTTATTAGAAACTAATAAAACTGGATATGGGGGGATTAGAGGAAGGAAGAGGATATGAGTAGGAAAGGACTTTTTTTTTTTTTTTTTTTGCTAGTGGGACTGGGGTTTGAACTCAAGACTTCATGCTTACACAAAGCAAGTACTCTACTGGCTTGAGCCATACCTCCAGTCAATTTTGCTTAGGTTATTTTGAAGATGAGGGTCTGTGAACTATTTGCCTGGGCTGGTCTCAAACTGCAATCCTCCCAATCACCTAGGATTTCAGGCATGAGCCACCAGAACTCAGATGGAAAGGACTTCCTAATAAATCATTTTATATTGGTTGATTTTTGAGCCAGAGGAATGTGTGGTATATTAAAAAAAACTTTTAGTGAAAGAGAATTATAATTTATCTTGAACAGAAAAAAAGAAAAACGGGATATGACTAGTAACAAAAAAGCCTAGTGGCTGTCGATCATATCCCCATGGTTCACAACAACTTGGCTTATTCAAGACTCAATCATTTCCTGGCCATCAGAATGAAATTGATCTAAAATTAAAACAAAAAAAAGACTTGAATCTGACCAGCAAGGCCAAAGTGGACAGTGTAGTTAGGGAAAAAAAGTAGGGATAAATATTTACCTCCATTTCTTTCCCCACAGCAGCCAGGCTAAGATAGGCTTGTGCAGCAATATCTGCTACAAAAGCCCAACTGACAGGGAAAGATCTCGTCTTCCTTCCCCAAAGGCCAGGACTATGATGGCTGGGAAAGATCCCTATGTGGAAAACTGAGGCTAGTGCTCTATTATTTAGGAATGAGCCTGAACAAAACTGGACATGTTAATTGCTTGCTGTTAATCAGTAGGCAATCACTACAAAATGCATTTAATAGCTAGCCTACACTTTTAAACAGACACTGTCCATATGACATACTTCTCAGGACATCTAGGTTTCTTTTTTGGGGGGTGGTATGGGGCAGTACTAGGGTTTGAACTTAGGACCTATGCTTGCTATGCAAGTGCTCTATTACTAGAGCCACTTCACTAGCCCTTTTTTGTGCTGGGTATTTTTGAGATAGCGTCTCACAAACTATTAGCCTGGGCTAGCTTCAAACCTTCATCCTCCTGATCTCTGCCTCCCAAGTAGCTAGGATTACAGGTGTGACCCACCAGTGCCCACTGATATCTATGTTTCTTATGTAGTAACTACAAATAAGAACTGTCTTGACTAAATGGAACTTTCAAAGACCCAAGGGTTAGGACAAGACAGAGTCAACACTAAGTACTGATGAGAAAGAAAAAGCAAAAGACTAAATGATGCTTTTCAAGCTCAATATATTTCTCCCTAAAATAGTGATTTCCTACGAAAAAGGCAACTTTCAAAACATTAATATTTTAAGAAAACTTGTGAGTAAGTAACATTTTTCCAAAATAAAAATAAATTTCCTTGGAAAATATACTTCTTAAAAAATAATCTGTGAAAAAATAGGAAAAGAAGAAAGAAGCATAGGAAAGATCACCTCATGCTTAGACAGCTTCCAGTCATCATTGAGATCCATTTCTTGGAATGACTCATGGGATCTTGGTCCATTTCGAATCTCCAGGAGATCGATGTTGAATATCAGTGTACTCTCTGGAGGAATTTTACCTGTATTAGGAGAAAGGGGGAAATTCTTATTTAGCAGGACCACAAGTTTTCATAACCAAAAACATATGGTACTCAACAAAATATTTTTAAACTGAATTAAATGAAGAGCCTCTTGAGATTGAGGAAATTACTATTATTAAATCTTATTCAGAAAAGTTGAATGAAGTAAAAGGAGGAATAATCCAAACCAGAGCAAAAGCATTCTGGTTTTGGCTTAGCAATAAAACACATAAACACACACATTTATATTATATGTACATATCTGTAAAAGTGCCTAATAGTCTAGATGATAAATTTAAAATATAATTAATATATTACACATTATATATCAAGAATGACTTAATGTGCTTTGAGTAATTCAGAGTTAATTGTATAACAAGTGACTTACTAACTTGGATCAGAAAGTCCTGGCCTACAAGTACACACTTTGGTGTTGTCATTTCTACCACTGGGAGGCAGTATATAATTGGGTGAGCTCTGGTATCGCATTTTCTGGGATTGGAGCTCACATCTGCCCATCTTTAGGACTCCGTTTCCTCATCTGTAAAATGCACATGATAATATCTTCTACCTTAGGAGTCTGTTGGGAGGATGAAGGAAGAAAATCCATACAGAAATGAAACACTCAGCATTATGCTCGATAAACAATAAGCTCTCAGTATATGTTACTGAAATATAGTGTTCTTACAGGCTTTAAAAGTAATGCAGGAAGATTCAAAATTTTCAAAAAGTTAGGAAATAGCCCCTCTGGTACAGGACTTTATACACATGTTGCAGACATTTCATGGGAGGGCAGAAATTAAGATGAACTTCTGAAAAGGGAGCTCAAAAGTGAAAAGAGCTTTAAGTCTCAGGGTACTAAAAATGACAAAGAAATATTAATAAAAGCAAACACACACACACCAAAAAACAAACCCTCTGGGAAGTTCAGACAATTTTTTTTAAAACTTGTTTTGTTATAACTATACTTAACATAAAGGTCTGGGTAAACTCGTTAAACATTTCTTAGTTGTCTCCCTATCCTTTGTATTTCTGTGAAAAGGCATTTGTTAAGTTTCAAAGAGAACAACACTCACACTGTGAGCCCAAGCTTACCGGTCCAGATGGAGACAGAGAAGGGACATACACTAGATCGGTGGGAAAGCTGGTCTCTTTCCAAGGAGGCATGCAAGCATGTACTAAAAGACTACAAAAGCAGTGTTACATACTAGGAAAATTAGTTTCATGGCACTCAGTCTGAAGGAAATGACTCAAAATTTAGATCTCTGCATGTTATAAAGTGAGATTGAGTTAAACACAGAACAGAGAAAGAGTAATGGACTAATACTACATGTATTAATGGCGAGGCAATGAAGATACCAAAGAATGGAAGAATACTTCTAAGATTAGATAAATGTTTCCTAGATACTGGATTTCTTTCTCCAAAGAAGATTATAATTAAAATAAAAATTGAATTTGGTTAGAAACCTAGCTTATGGATAAGATTTATATAGTTAGTTCCATCCTAAAGTATGTCATGCTTTACAAACAGGGGCTAGGAATACTGACTCCTACTTTGTCAATGGGTAAGCCTAAACTTAAGGATGCTGTAAAGTCTATATTTATATCACATCAAGCAGTATAAATTTTTTTCTTTACTACAAAAGTAATGCATGCTTGTAAAGAACTTGGAACACAGAACCAGAAATATAATTCCCAGTATCACAGTCCATTGCTTTTATTTCTTTATGATTCATTTCTATATATACTGTTTTCCTATACTGATTATCATCGTGTATGTATGATAGATTTACTTTCCACCTTTATATTTGTACACATTCTATACATGGTTTTTTTAATCTCTGAAAATGTCATTTTCAATAACTGGTCTACACTATTTAGTCAAACACTTAAACACTTAGGTGGTTTTTGTTGTTGTTGTTGTTTTGCTATTAAAAGCAATCTTTATATCTGATTACTCCTTTAGGTTAGATTCCAGTAAGGATATTATAGGATTAATGCATATAAACATCTCCAGACCTCTTGGTACAAATCACCAAGTAGCCCTTTGGAAAGTTGCATGAGTTCCTACTTTTTTTTTTTTTTTTTTTGACTGGGGTTTGAACTCAAAGCCACAGTCTTGTTAGGCAGGTACTCTACCACTTGAGCCACTCCACCAGCCCTTTTTTGCATTAGGTTTTCTCAAGATAGGATCTTGTGAACTATTTGCCCAGGCTGGCTTTGAACTGCAATCCTTCTCATCTCTGCCTCCTGAGTAGCTAGGATTATAGGTGTGAGCCACAGGCACCCAGCCCACATGGGTTCCTACTTGAACACCAGATATGTGTATCTTCCCTGGAACAAACAGGCACTAAAGTTCTCTGGACCAGCCACACAGCTTGCTTCGCCTTTGTAACACAGGGAAAATTAAATTCATTGGAAGTGACTCTATTATTTTCTAAATAAATTGCTAAAAGCTTTATAAACAAGTTTAAAAACAAGAATAAAAAGAACCCTTAGTAGGAGCTATGATATGGAAGACTTCATATAGCTACATCCAGACCATATGTAAAATTGTATTCAATGCCTTAATAGTTTATATTTCACATATTCAACTTACCAAAACAGTGATCTTTCTTGTACATTGTTAAATTACTGAGTTTCTGTTTTGGAGGATGAAAAAGTTTTGGAGTTGCATAGTGGTAATGGCGGCACAACAATGTGACTAGATAATACTACTGAACTATATGCTTAAAATGGTTCACATGGTAAATATTGCATTATGCATATTTTACTACAGTTTTTTAAAGCATCATACTGATGAATAGTATTAGTAGAGTTCAAGGTTCCAGATCTTATTTTTCACTGTTAATTCAGTTGCCATTTAGATATGATGGCCTTACTGGCCATTTCAATTGATAATCTAGACACAATTATATTTCCTAAAGGAATACAAACCCTCTGTTTAATTCTAGTGAAAAAACACACAGTAGTCACTTCAGCAACTCTCTCTCCTAATCTAGAGAAGAAGAACTCTAGTGCTACAGTAAGAAATGTAGAAGTGTTATTACCTTTTCCTTCTTTTCCATAGCCCAGAGCAGGAGGAATGATGAGTTTTCTCTTCTCTCCTACACACATTCCCTTTAATCCCTGGTCCCAGCCTTTGAGAGCTTCCAGGATGCCCAGAGTAAACCAAATGGGCTGACCATTGTTATGTTTGTGACTACGATAGAAAGAAAACACATTAGTACTTTGTGTGTGTGTGTGTGTGTGTGTGGTGCTGGGGATCAAAGTCAGGGCCTCATACATGCTAGGCAAGCATTCTACACATTAGAACTCTTTAGTAATTTACTTAATTTTTTAATTGCTGTGGCATACTTTCCACCAGTAATTGTTAAAATTTATTAGCTTGAAAGTTAATGAAAATAGCTATTTTTTATTTACACACAAAGTCCTGACATATGAACTAATGAGGACCAGTCTAAGAAATCCAACCTGCTGAACTGCTGAGTTGAGGGTGGAGGGCTGAGTAGCATCTGAGCCCCAGTTAGCGCCCTTTTGGTGTTAGAAGAAAAGTGTTGTCCTATTCAAGGCTATCTTATGGCTGAGAATAAGAAGTTATTCTACTAGGTTTATGGGTAGCATGGTTATGAAAGTTGAGGAATTGCCATTCCTCCCTCCTTTTATTCATTTCCCCACACACAAAGTAATAAAATGCCAACTTTAGAAAATTTGGAAAGGCTAGAAAAGAATAAAGAAGGAAGAAATAATCTACTACCCAGCACTAACCACATTTTGACACACAACTTATTAAGACTATGGTTCTAGAAAAAGCAAACATGCTTTACAGACTTATCCTTTGATGGTATGTCTTCATGATACTCAGAAGTAGCAAGTCTTGACAAAAGTCCCCTCACCAGGAGTTACAACACTGATAGAAAACTGGTTAAGTAATATCCCATGGCTACTACCAAAATCCACACAGGTTCTTGGTCCTGAGACTAGAAAGAAATTAGGCTATGTCTAAAAGTGATCAGAATAAAAATAAGAATGTAATTGAAAAATTTTAAATAAAACATTACAATAATGTGCACTATGACACTGGCCTTATTGACAAGAAGAAAGGTCTGTTGAGAATTCTGTGGCAAGCCATTTTTTGGGAACATTTTAGCAATGCCTAATGCAAGAGCTAACAGGGTTCAGAGAGGGGTACCATTTGCTTCCCCCAAGCCCCACAAAAGTCTGACTGCCCAGTAAAGGCAGTATATCACAAAACAGGGTCTAAGATGGGCCAAAGCTTCACTGTTTTAGCTCATGTCATTCTCTCTACCTGTAACGTCCTCCTTCTTCTATTCTCCCCCTGATAACCTCCACCCATCATTCGAGGCCCATCTCAGTTATGGTCTCCAGGAAGTCCTTCTCTTTCCCTGCCTCTCAGAACATAATTTCAGGCTCGTCTATGTTTTACTAGCCCTCTGAATATTCTGTTTTCTATCATTGAGTTGTTTACTTGTCTTCTAGTGGTTTTTGCATCTCTAGGACCTGAATTATGGCCATTCACTATGAGTTTGACATATGGTTGGATGAAAGAATGGATGAGGATGATTAAAAGCTAAAATTTTTGAATCTCCTAGTCCTCCCAACATGAGACCTAGCATAAAGGAAGTGCTCACTAAATTCTTTCAGAATGGAATGGTTTCCAATGCCTAATTGGAAATCATTAGGCTTGTAAACCTTTTCCATGTTGCAATTTCTTTGCTTATAGAATAGAAATATAGTGTAACCACTTGAAAACCCTTCAGGTTAGATTTCTATAACCACACCCATTCCCATTGGTGAAGTCTAACTTTCAAGAAAGAGGCAATTGACTACTGAATCATGGTTCTGTGCCTTGATCAAAATGAAATAGCATTAGTATATATTTTATAAACAGGCAAATAAACAATTGTGTATTTTGCTCTTGAAACTGCTGTGGAAAGTTTTAAGTAAATATCACCTACACCAAACCAAAAATGGAATTCAGTCATTTCCCCTCAAGAATGGCGTTTGAGACATGAGAATACTTTTGGGCTCTTTCTACTTATTGCCTAGTTATATACCTACATACTTCTGCAGAATTTCAAAGATTCTAGTTCCAGTTTTTATAATAGAAAAGAACAGCTTTTTATCAAAACCACATTTCCAGTAAGTCCTTCAAAGGCCTCATTATAGAGACTTGACCTTCAACAATTTTCCTTTTCCAAAGCGAATCATATTCTTTTTCTTTGTCTTTTAATTTTCTTTTTTCAAAGTGGTAAAGCCAACCTCTGCAGGCCAACTGGTGTAGGTGGGTGGGTTCTTTATTATATTACCTGCGAGGCATAATTACTTACGTGGAGTGAAACAGGGAGCCGTCCTGTTCTAAGTAGCCCTCATAATGGACCAACATCAAATCCCCTCCTTTGGTCTTGCGATGGCAGATGAATGGCTTCTGGAGAACTTCAATTTTCACTTCTGGCTCGGGGATCAGAGCCCCACACACAGAAGTGACCAACAATGTCAACACGGCGTTCCACAAGAAAAACCTCATGTTGCTGGGGCTGGAAAGAAATCCCTACAAAAGCAGAGAAACGGCCTCCGACTTCATAGAGTTAAAAACGTACGTGAACGCTTAGGAACAACGGCCTCTGGCAAGTTCAGGACTCTCCCTTCTCAGAAGACGTGGCACTTTTACCACCACCAACTTTCCCACACTGCCAACTCACCTTTAAAGAGTTAACCCCAATCCGAGCCTGACTGGTTCTTATAACGCGACCGCTGGAGAAAGGCGGCCTCCTATTGGCTGGCGATACTGTCCCTCAGGTGCGCCTCCAGCCAATGACGCTGCAACAATGCACTTTGCAGCTGGGTTGAGCCCCGGCCGCCACTAGATGGCGAACCACCTGGAGTGGTCCTAGAGTCTGGAGGTTTAAAGAACTCCGCTACCGGGACTTTGGGAGAGGGGTGGGGTACAGAGCTAACAGGAAGCTCCACGGGCAGATTTACCTCTGTAAGGATCCCCACTGAGCTGCGTAGGAAGAGTCTGGGGTCTGATGACACCTTAGGGATTTCAGGAAAGACTCGTTTCCTCAACGACTTTGGAAATCGTCCTCTCTCCTCCTTCCCGCCCCCCAAGATGCCACCAGCCAAGGCTCCTGCTGTTGCTTATTAACTTACAAGCTATAAAGATTTACCAGGTGCTTTAGGGTTGGCAAAGCGCATTCCTGGTGCATGAACCACACTACAACCATTAAGACAGGTTCTTCTTCCTATGGATGAGATAAGTAAGTTTAGGCTGGGAGAAGTTAGTGTCCTGCTTAAGATCACTTGGCACCAAAACATTTGAGCTCCGCCTTCAAACCAGATCTGATTCATTTCACAACACCGCAAATGTTATGGCTGCTAACAATGAACCTCGTAAGTGACCTTCCTGTGGAGGGTAAGTAATGGAGAAGGACGTGCAGACTCTCTCTTTAAAGAAATAGTATTCAAAATAAATATAATAAAGAAATTATACTAATCAAGCTTACTGTCTCGTCTCAGTTTCCATTTTCTAGTTCGACATATGTCTCCTAATTTCAAATGCATTTCATGTTCACTGTAGCTGATTTAGAATAAATCCTATTTTGGAAAACATCAAAGTAGGATTTCCATATTTAAAAACACAAGACACGAATTTCAGTTACATAACCAATAATTGTTAAGTATTTTGTTTTCTAGATCTGGCAACCTTAACACTAAGGAATAGAGGGGAAAAATCAACAAATAATCATTTTAACATTTCAGTACATGCTTCTGTGACATTATACCTAAACAACATGGGCTATTTTGCATACTCTTTCTCAACTTTCTTCCAGTTAACCTATGATTAGCATTTTTCTAAGCCAAATATCCTTAAAACAGTGAATTTTCACACTTTTATGTACATAAGAATTTCCCCTGGGGATCTTGTTGAAATGCAAATTTTGACTGAGAAGTTTTGAGCTGGGAGCTAGATTCTGCATTCCTAAGGATCTCCCAGGTGATATCAATGCCACGGGCGCAGAGACCACATTTCCAGTGAAGTTTGGATCTTTTTACACTGGGCTTAACAGCATTCTATGCTGACATTCCCATATCCTCGGTCAGGGGGCGGGGTTACTGCGCCCTGGAAATGAAAATTGGACCCTTGGGGACTACAGTTCAGGGGTACCTTAAGGGGTATGTAGGCACTCAAACATTGTGAATTGGCACCCAACCCAAGTACACCATCCTTTACAATCAAACTGTGTCCCATACTGATCTCAGGGTCCCTCTGTTCTTCCTAGTCATCACCTATTCTCAAGCCAGCACCCCAGAACTCAATTTCCCTGCGGGCCTCTCCCGCGACGTCAGCCCCGCGGCCACCGCGGCCGCGAAACTCCGGGGTGGATTTCGGGAAAGTGCGCGCAGTGCGTTGCACTGGGCATGCGCGAGCGCGCTCCGGGCCCGGCCGGTGGAGGGTTCAGGTAGCGCGCGGTGGGGCCGCCTGCAACCGCTGCTTTACTCTCTGCACTCAGGAGGCTTGGGCGCCCCCCTCAGACCCGCCCGCCCAACGCCTTGGTCTCCTGGTGGACAGCGGGCCTGGCCCCACCGCGCTGGCCCACAGCAGGCCACCGCTTCTGGGGCCGAGGCCGCAGCAGTGACCCCGCCCCCGGGCCGAAGATGTGAGACGGGCCGGGCGTCTCCGCCCGGGGCCCGGGCGCCGGCAGTGGGCGTCTGGGCCACGCCGGATGATGGCCTTGCTGCCGGTGCTCCTCGCCACCTGGGCCCTGGGCCGGTGAGGGGGCCGGCGGGCGTGGGCGAGCGGCGCCCGCGCAGCGCGGGCCCAGGGACTGCGGGCGCCATGGAGGGGGTGCTGTACAAGTGGACCAACTATCTGAGCGGTGAGTGCCTCGCCGGCCCGGGGCGCAGGGGGCCGGGCCTTTGTTTGAGCTGCCGGGGGGCAGTGTCGGGACGCGCCTCCGTGGGGACCACAGTCACGGTCATGACAGACCGCGGAGGCTTGTGCGGATCCGGAATGTGTCGCACAGCAGTTCCCGCCCAAGACCTGACGCCCTCTGCTATCTGTACACAGGATCTGTCGCCCCTCCCCCGGTTGGGTGAGCTATGAAAGACTGAGATTTGGGGTGCTGCCGCGAAAGGCGCCAACGTGCCGCTGTGGGGTCCGCTGGGAGTCTCTAGAATTCCAGTAAGGGATCCAGACTTGCCTGTCCCGCATCTAGGTTGTAGGGTTTCAAATGAGGGCCAGCAGTCACCTGGAATTGCAGAGGTGAAAGGTCCTTTATCAAAGTCCCCAATGTAAACATTTTTCGCATTATCACAGTCATCTGCGTGCACATCAAGGTAACAGAGTTACAGTTTACAGCAGTTTCAAAGCTCCACAGTCTGCATAAGATTTTTGATACTTTCACTGAGCGTTTCTTTTGTTTTAGACTCTGAAACTACCATAAGATGAACGCAAATATTAAAAGCTTTGTTTCTTTGCCCTGCCAAGTAGAATGGCTTAAAAATAATAACCTATCCCCTTTCCAATTTCTGCAAGTACTTTCGAAATATCTTGAGAACGTTCGAACCGTTTTTAAGCTGTGAATATCACTCATAGTGAACAGTTTTTCTTCTGTGCAACCAGTATTTAATAAAAGCCTTCTTTATGTTGGAAACTGCTGCACACATTTTTGGAATTAAACTTCTTATTATGGAAAAAATTTTAAATTTGAAATCAGAAGTGCTCCCAGTACCTGTGAAAGGGTTCAGGAGAGAGATTTTTCCCATCCTTTTTTTGATGGGACTGTGGTTTAAAGGTATTGCAAGGTTGCTCTGGGTGTTTTAAGGATGGGTATGCCTGGGAGGATCTGTTGGCATGGTAACTTTGAGGCGGTCACAGTAGGCAGCAAAGACAACAGTGCACCTGTTGGGTGTACTAGAGTTTGTTCCCTTGGTGTAGTGTGGTTGGCAATGAGTTGTTTGTTTTTCCTGTAATCATTATAAGAGAGAGAGAGTGAGTGAGGAGAGGTGTTCTCTTTACAAGACCTGGCCTTTCCTTCAAGAACTGAAGTGGTGTCAGCAACTTCATTAGCTTAGATGTGAATAACTCAGAGCTGGGCCTCAGTTTGGTGAAAGCCAGAAGCCAATTAGCACTGTGCTAATCTAAGGGGAAGAGGAGGCTAGACCAGGACATCTTCCTTTTGAAGTCTCTGTAAGCCCTAAAATGTGTGCATCTTAGTCCTTGATTCCAAATTAGTTGCTGGTCATTCACCCCTTTCTGTCATATAAGCTTGTTGTTTTACTTATTTTTCTTTCATTCTCAACAGTCCTTACCCCTTACCCTTTCAAATCTCTTCCTTTTTCCTCTCCCCCTTTTAGTATAGCAGTTAGGTATCTTAGAATAGTACCTATTTCCTGGTAGTGAAATGCTTTCTTTCCTTCTTTCCTCCTTTCCTTCCTCCCTTCCTTCCTTCCTTTACTCTGACTGTCCTGTGTATTCCTCATTAAAGCAAAATTTCTCTAGGAGTGTCTTCTGGAATCTTTCTCATGTGATGCCCATATTATCTTTTCTGTTGGAAAAGATAGTACTTTTTTCTTCTGCAAGTAAGGAAGGGGTACCAGGGCAGAAAAGGGGCAATGGAGCCATTGTCACAGGCAGCTGTTTGTTCCTTTGACTTACATACCTCCTCCTTGTGAACAAGCTGTTCACAGAAGCCCATCACAACACTGACTACTCTTCTAGATATATTTACAATTATGGTCCAGACTGATGGAGTGGCTCAAGGTGTAGGCCCTGAGTTCAAGCCCCAGTACAAAGAAGAAAAAAGAAAGAGAGAAAAGAATGGTAATAGTCTAGAAAGATAATATGCATTCTTGTTTCCTCTACCCTCCTTTGCTAGTTGTCTCTCAAAAAGAGCTTGTTTGAGTGTGAATGATAAGTTTGATGGAGACTTTTTTCTTCTGATGCTTTTTTTTTTTTTTTTTTGCAGTACTGGGGTTGGAACTCAAGTTGTAGGAGAGGCTCCTACAACTTGAGCCTCTCCACAGCCCTTTTTTGTAATGGGTTTTTCGAGATAGGGTCTCTCCAACTATTTGTGCAGGCTGGCTTCAAACCAAGATCCTCCTGATCTCTGTCTCCTGAGTAGCTAAGATTATAGGTGTGAGCCACTGGCACCCAGCTTGATGCTTATTTTTAAAGTAACTTTTTTTTACTGGGTGCCAGTGGCTCATGCCTGTAATCCTAACTACTTGAGAGGCTGAAATCGGGAGGATCACAGTTCAAGGCCAACCTAGGCAAATAGTTTGAGAGACCTCATCTCCAAAATAACCAGAACAAAAAAGGACTGGAGGTGTGGCTCAAGAGATAGAGCACCTGCTTTGCAAGTTTGAAAAAAAGTAACTTTTTTCCTTGTAGTTATACACAGGTACATTAAAATACAAAAATAACCCCAATCCAAGGTTTCATCTTTTCTGTCTTTTTTTTTTTTTTTTTTTGGTGCTGGGATCGAACCCAGGGCCTCACACATGCTAGGCAAGTTCTGTACCACCGAGCTACATCCCAGCCCTCATCTTTTCTGAATTATTCTCCAAAATAAGTCCATAACCAATGATTCTTTTTATGTAGTTTGTGTATTTCTGTCATGTGGACAGCTTGATATGTAATACTTTGTCAGATATGAGTGGAGACATTAAATCAGTTTATTACTTGATCCTTTTGAATTCATGGAAAATGTTAATTTCCTTTCTTTTTCTTTTTGTGATATTGGGGAATCAACCAAAGGCCTTGTGCATGCTAAGGAAGTGATCTGCCTCAGAGCTTCACAAACTGCTATTTGCTGGGCTTTGTGCTAGGAACAAGGGAAGCAATGTTGAACAAAACGGATAGCTTCTGCTCTCCTTGAGACTACATTCTGGTGGGTTAGAAGGATAAGTGGTTAGAAATATGTTCCAAATGTGTGTGATGGGGTGGGAGAACCAGGGAGGCTAGTCTGGGTTGCTGGAGAAGGCTGCTTTCAGTGAGCAGAGCCTGAAGGACAAATAAAGCTAACTAGGTGAGTGGGCCAAAGCAGCAGTGCAGGTGGAGGCTGTAAGTAAGAGCTTTCAGACACAGAGAATGCTTGCGTGAAGACATCAGAACAGGATAGGAAACAGTAGTTTGAGAAGAGGAAAGAGAACCCCTTTGGCTGGAGACTTAAGAGTGAGGAGACATCAGGGGCATATGGGAGGCTGATATTACAGGGCCTTGCAGGCTAGGTTAAACAATGTGGTATAAGTGTGTGTGTGTGCATGTGTGAAAGAGAAATGGCGAAACTTAAGCTATTCTGCTTGCAGTGTAGAAACTTTTAGGCCACATCTTTGCATCTCTCCAAATACTATAGCTTTTTTTCTGAGCCTCTTGAATTAAATTTATAGGAATCAATAATTCAAAGTTAGAACTACCAAACCTTGAGAGTAATATCTAAATTGCTTTCACGTACGTACTTTTAGAATACAGGCACAGAAAAGATATAAAGTCTCTTCACTCAGTTACTAGGCATACTTATGTACCTTGTTCCTTCAATGAAAAGTGAAAGAAAAAAAAAAAGAGCTTCTGAGCCATCCTGCCCCTTGAAATATAGAACATTGGACATTGTGGGATTTAGTGTGTCCAAGTCTCTCTTCAGATGTTAGAAAATTAAATTTAGGATGAGAAGGAAATGGATTAAACTTGAGTGTATAACTTGCACAGTATACTACTGTTAGACACTGCTGTTTGCTTGTTACTTGTATCTTTTTGGCATTACTGGAGTTTGAACTCAGGGCTTCACACTTGGTAGACAGGGACTCTGCTGGCTTGAACCCATACCTCTAACCTATTTATATCTTTCAAGTCCTAAAATTTAGTCAAGGATACATGCTGAGCTATACATATATTAATGCCATAGAACCCTGGGTCAAGCAAAAGCTGGAAGTCAAATACCAGTTTTAGTGGTATTGAACTCATTTGAACTTCAATGTCTTCCTCCATAAAAATAATGGGATTCATCAGTTTATAAGAATAGTTTTAAAAAAAATAGCACCTACAATGTGCCCGTGAGTATTCGTAAACATTTTACATGGATTAGCTCCTTCAATCTTTGTGGCAATTTTGAAAAGCGGTTGCCTTTTTTATTTCCATTTTCTAGATGAAGACATTGAGTTACAGTGTTGGAATGGGCCCAGGGCCACCCAGTTAATAGGTGGCTCTAAAGTCACCTGCTCCATTACATAATACTTTTAAAGGTCCTTCCCACTTGATCATTACATAATTCTAGCTGATTCATAGGTGCTTATATTTGAAGTATGTTTGACCTAGAATACAAGACTCTGTTTGGAGGAAGGAGGAGAGGAGGAGTGCAGGAGAAGCGAAGGCTTTGAGTGCCTAATGTTGTGCATGTTTTGTCACAAGGTTTGCAGTTTAAGGTCCTTTTCCTGCCCACACAGCAGAAAGGAAGGCTACTGCCTTAAGCTCCAGCCAGTTATAGGCTTCTTGGACCTCTATAGCAGGTTTGGGTGCTAGCGCATTGAAGCATTACACTCTAGAATAACAAAAGCTTGCATCATGCTGGCTGGATGATTGTCACTTAGGAGGTGCTAAAATTTTGCTTCTTCCCTGGGGGAGGCAGGTGACTCTTGCCCCATATGTTTGTGCTGGGTAAAGTGTACCAGGAAGACATTTGGAATATGATGATCGAAAGTAGGATTCATGGTCTCACAACCTCTGGTCAACATTTTTGTGTTGTGATTTTAATATCTTTGTTGAGATAGCAATTCAGGTACCATAAAATTCACCCACTTAAATTGTACAAGTCAGTGGTTTTAGAATATATACAAAGAGTAGCTATTGCCGCAGTTAATTTTGGAAGATTTTCATTGTCCT